TAGTGGTCCGCCAGCGCCATGACATCTCCCAGAAGGCTATTCCCTCCTCCCAAAAGGCCAATATCAATGAATCAGGCTGGAAGTAATGAATATGATTTGTGTGACGGCTGGCACCATCTGGGCTGTCACATGCCTACCATCAAGGCTCCCATTCACATGGGTGCTGTTCAATCGCGTCATCCCATTCACGGGTTTGGCTGTCACTGGTTGTCGCCTGTGGTCTGGGTATAAAACCCAGCTCTGGGATCGAGCGTTCCCTTTTGGGATTTCTTCCCTCTTCAGCTTCTTATTCTTAGTCCAAGATAATCAAATCGTACATAACGTGCCCTCTGGTTACGCCGTGACAATTTGGGTAAAAGAGTAATAAGAAAAAATGCAAAGAAAAAATTGGCCTTGGACGACGAAAGGAATTAGCTTGCGTTTAACTTGGAAAACGTCTCGTGGATCCAAAGATTGAGAACTCATTTTTGATAAGTTACGAGCTAAGGGCTAGGATTTAAAAACAAGAAAACTAATTATTCAACTGATTTTACGTAAAAAAAGAAAGGCAAGGAAAAAACCAAGGGACATTATAAGATACGAGGAGGGTAGCCAGTGTTATGATCGAAGAGTGCTCTTAGAAATAAGCAGCCTACTCCGAGCCTTCCATTTGCTAAATGCCCCAAATCTTCAAAAAGCCTCCGTTCCTTCCCATTTCTTTTGAAATTGGAAGCTTAACTTTAGCTCAGCGTAAAGCCAAGTTAAAGTTTGCGGCTACCTACGCTGATATCAATTACTTCGAAACTCGAGTTATACATTACACGCTAGTAGCCACGGGTAGTTTTCGTACTATGTTGCAAGTCCGTGCGTGCCCGAGGCTACCATTCACTCACATTGCCCGTTTATTCACCTTGTGCATGCTATCCAAGTAAGGTATATCGGCCCCGTTATTGCCTGGCATAAGCTTTGACCATGATATGGAAACGGAACATATGTGAAATAGCGATCCAAAAAGCGAATGAGCAGCTCCTGTCATCTAATGCAGCATCCACAAATAAAAAGGGTTTCCGCCAAATTCTGGTTGCAATGACATACTTTAATGAAAACACCAAATGCGGCATTGGTCGTGGCGGTTGCAACCTAGGCCACTTAGGTAGTTAGTGGTAGAGGGGCGGGCTCGGGTGGGCTCTTCCAATCTCCAGCGGCAGCAGATGCCGACACGCTGAAGAACACGCCGAGGACACTCACAAAGTTTGGGCAGCAAAAGACATCTAAAGTGACCAAATTACTTTTTTAACACTCAATCAACGCTTTCCATTGTGCTTTATGGACTTTTTGTACATGAATCAGCAAATTATGATTTTTGAGAAATTCAGCAATGGCATCCTGATTTCCGGCCTTCGAGCGCTAGCAACAAATCATTCCGGTGTAGCGAAGCCAGCTGCATTTCGCAATCATTCATAGGTGCACGGTCCGAGCGACCTCATATCAACCAATCAAGGTCCGCTGGCTCAATGGCAGAGCGTCTGACTACGAATCAGGAGGTTCCAGGTTCGACCCCTGGGTGGATCGATTCTTTTTGCCAATTTTTGCTTTTTGATCTTTTATGCGGGGATCCTGGACCTCGTCGTTTCAAACTTGGTTTTCATCCCTTTATTTAATTTTTTTGGGGGTTTTTTTTTTGGTTTGTTTTTGTCTGTGCGAACGGCCTATTAGGTGTTTAATAGCAATGTGAAGCTTGTTCTTTAGGAGTAAGAGCATAGCTTTAGTTTTGGTCATGTTGCAGCATCAAGCCTAGCAGTAAAACTTGCATGTCTTCACTAAACAAGTTTGGGATGGGTGAGCGGGCATAGTGGTAGCAAGTCGTTTTGGATGTCTTGACGTAGCTAGAGTTTAAGGCTATCCTTAGTCCTTCCTTCGGAGGTAACCTTGTTCTCTTTTCTACCTGCACTAACATGGCTGACGAATATAAGCAAGATGGGAGGGAAGTTGACTTCTGTTAACAATGTGCACCGTTTCAAAGCCATGGCAAAATCATGAGTTCACGATGCATACAGAGAAGCCGATTGACTGGTACTACGTGTTACGATTAAGCTACATCAGTAGCAACTATCAACTCCAGAAGACTGTTGTGTTGGTCCCTGTCACCGTAGTATCATCATTATGTGCTGTGTACCATACATCCCTTGATCTTTGAACATGACCAATTCCTGTGCCGAATGAATCCATTCCATGATCCCCTTTCCAGTTACGCCGTGCAGAATGCAGCAGAAAACATTAAGAGTAAATGCTATGGGTATCCGTCAATGCACCAAACCACCAAAAAACTCCTTCAACCAGATACAATCAATCCCCTCGCTCGAAAACCGTGAACAATCGTGGTAATTGGTGAACTCTGATATGGCAGCTTAGGCCCACTTGCCCAAAAGCGCCATCACGAAGCAGCCCGCAAACAGGCAAGCCAGCATGAACAGCACGCGGGTTCTATCGCGAATGCGGTTCGGGTTGAATAAGAAGTCGCGAGCGAGTAACTCCACAAGGCCGGTGTACAGAAGGATACCAGCCGAGATGGAGTCCAGGATGCCAGAGACAATGGAGGCAGTGAAGCCAGTGCTCTCGTAAGTGGTACCGAGGCCAAGGCCGATGGCGAGAGCAATGGGAGTCGTCAGGCCGTAAGCGAAGCAAAGAGCCCAAGGCATCCAACTCAAGCGCCTGGGGAACGGAATGCTGGACAGACGAGCGCCGATACCAAGGCCCTCGAAAGCCTGGTGGAAGACAACAACGGGGTAGAGAGTGGAAAACTCCTCGCCGACGACGCCGAGGTTGAGACCGATGATGACGGAGTGGAAGAGTACGCCGAACTCCAGGATGAGGAAGGCAGCAATCTGCTCACGGAAGATGCGCTCAGACTCAGGGGAATCACCGGTAAGGAAGGCGTGAGACTCGATGTCGATGGTGTCCTTGGAGTGGCCATGAGAGCTGTGAGTGCCAGTGGGAGAGGGCGCAGGAGTCTGAGGAACCGGATTCTGGGCATCCTGGTCGCCAGAGTGAAGGAACTGGTGACTGGCATGGGCGTCATGGCCAACGGTGGAATGCTGGCGAGGAGAGGTATGGCAGTCATCATGAGACTCAGAAGTGTTGCCGTCATCAGTGGAGTTGGCGCCGTCAGTGGTGTGGCCGGGGCAAGTGGTGATAACCTTCTCGATGCTGACATCGGCCTCGCACTCGTACTTGTTCTCGACGTACCACTCAGCACCGTAGTCCAAGAGGAAGATGAGCATGACGGCAGTCATGGCGATGGCGGGAGGCCAGGAGTAAGCATCCCAGCCCTTGGTCATGCCGACGCAAGAGGCGGGGCCGATCTCCTCGTAGGCGGGGTCAAGAAGGTGGATAAAAGCCGTAGCGATGATGACGCCGGCACCGAAGTAGCGAGCGAAGAGGTAGACATAGCGCGGAATGCGCAGGCGAGGGATGCGAGTAGCAAGAACCGGGAAGAAAGTGGTCAGAGAAGAAGTGGCCAAGATGACGAACAAGGCCGAGATGCGAAGGCCGACACGACCATCGTAGTCGTTAGGAGAGGCATTCATGTAGCAGACCACAGCGCGCGGGTCGGCAGTCTCAAGATCGACGCTGTGGGGATCGAAGGGCACGGAGGCCGAGGTGGTGACAATGTCGGAAGACATGTTTGTCGATTAACACTATGATAACTCGTCAGATGGCGTTGACGAGGAGAAAAGATGATGAGATTTTAGGTGAACGAGGAGGAGGTGAGAGAAGGTTCAAGGTGATGATGCGTTGAAGTGAAGATGCAAGGTCGCGCAGAACGTGGGCAGTACTGCGTCGAGCTGACTGCACAACGAGAGGGACCGAAGTGGGGGAACTTTGTCCGAGCGCGAAAGTCGGAGGAAGGAGTGAGTGAGTGAGTGGAGGATGGATGAACGACGTACCTGAGCGACGTGGCACTTGTTGTCTTGGTTGCTGCAGTGGAGTAGACTAACAGCCAAAGAGAAGCTTGAAGATCTTTGCGCTTGTGTTGTCAACTTCGCGACCGAGTGGAAGCTGTTGGTTATGGTTGCGAAAGAAGAAGTTGGGATTGCTTCCAGAAAGAAAGGTTTGTGGGGGAGTTTATAGGCAGCAGGATCTGCAGCGCAGATCAGCCGAACAAAATAAATTCGGGCAGATTTCCAGATGTGTGTCTTGTCGTCCGAACTTCTGCAATCAGCCGCCTGCGTGGACTTGTGTATTGTGGCCTGTGGACTGATGGCACAAAAACGAAACGAATAGAGTGACGGCAACGCGGTGGGTGATAACCTGAACTTTAAGTATTTCCCAGCAAAGGAAGGAAGGGGAAATATCTGCGATGGCAACCGAATACCTACTTATCAGACGATGGAGTGATGGCAGAATTTTCCATTACCTGACCCGCGGGGTTCTCAACCTTCAAGGTGTTGGTTGCTATCTCAGCTGTTGCTCGCTCGCTCGTGTTCCTGTTTGTATCGGGCAGACTTGGATGCCGCCTTTTCTTTTGAGGACCTTGATGGCCAAAAGGGCCATGACTGGACCGGCTGCTGATACCACCTCTCCCCATTGACCTCTCCCCATTGACCTCTCCCCATTGACCTTGACCCTGTTAGTTGGCCAGCTTCCGACTCGTTGGAGAGAAGGAAGTAAGGAAGGAGCGCCAACGAGCCGGATTGGGTGCACCTCTGGCATATTGACTCCCACTGGCACCTTCCATTCTGTCAATACGGCATGCGGCTCCGGAGCCGAAGACTTGACTGTTCGGAAACTCGACTTGACTTGAAGTGGATCGTCGTCCCTCGGCCATCATCAGCTGTGCCGTCAATCCCGAGTACAGAGTAACATCATGTTCACTCGGCCACAAGCCACGCGTTTCTGGGAAGGGGATGGTCAAAGGTATATAGAGCAGTGGAGCAAAACTTCGAATCCAGGGGACATGCATTTTGACGTCGATCCGGCGCTTTTGTGCCTTTATCAACTGAGATTGTGATGCACTTTCGGACCCCCGTTTCCAAAGGGTGGCCGTTGAGGTTCTCATTTGTGGTCCGTGCGTTGTAAGCATGACGCATGCATGACCTGTTGGAGGTTTGAAGCTTGACCTTGTGGAAACAAACAGCTGCCATTCGCTATGGAAACCCTTGACCGCTGCTAGGAAAGATTGGGAGATTGGGCTGAGTGGATTCGTGATGGTCAAGCTTTTTGTCAAGCTTTTTCTTCCATGCAGGAACTGAGGTGATGATAGACGATCATGATGTTCTCCACCTGATGTTGCAATGTTGCGGACTGCGGGGAACACCTTCTCTGCTTCCGACATTTGGGGTTTTGGAGCATTGCACTTGGAGGTTGGAGGTTGTGAGACAAGGGACAAAGAAGGCGTCCAGATTGTACTCGCGCCTCGCAAGCAAGGTACAATCTTCCGGACCAGCTATTGATCGTCGGAACAGATTTCATCATCATCACAGCGGCAATATCTTGTGATCTTTTTTCCGATCTGAAATCTGTGTGCTAGCTCCTTGTCATTTGGGTAGAGCCGCTCGACGTCAGCGTTTGTCGCGGGAAAACAACCAATAAGAGACGGCAGGGTCCTGATTACTAACGCAGAACACCCAGGGCAGTTTGAGACAAAGATTCATCTAATCTCCGTCAGGGTCTAGCACTGACTTGTCTCTGTTGACTTTGGACGATTTCTTTGGGGTCGCTCTCGGCCGCTTTCATAGAACTGGGCCGATGGTCCCTTCAATCCCAAGAGCATGTATTCATCCGAAACATCAGCCTCTCTTCGTACCTCATTAACAGCTTCCAGCTTTCGCGCTGACTTTCCAAGCGTGCGGATTGTCCTCGGCGAGCTTGGGTACACAGAACCACTCTGTTAGAGGTAGCTGACGACAAAAGTTTCACCAACGAAGATGTGACACCGACTCAGCGCACTTACCGAGCCTCGGTGGGGTGACAGGACACAACAACGGACGTTGAATCCCTTTCTGGGTGAGAAGTGGAAAGTAACACAGCGACATGATAACTCCATTGTGCAGCGAAGGAAAGCATCCCCGTTAGAGGAAGTTTACCTCGCTCCTGAACCTGGGCGTTGAGATAGATTGTCCCATCTTGGTACCCTGACCTGCGATATCACGACCTCATTTCCGATGTTACCTTGCTTTCTGTTGACCCTGTTGACCCTGTTGAGCCAGTTGAGATCGCATCGCATCATTGCAGCACACTACGGAATACGGCTTATCATTGAGCATTAGCCGCGCTCAAAGTTTCACAGCTTCATTCTCGAGGCTATACAGAATGCTGACCAGTTCCCGCCGGTCCGTCACGGGCAATTTACCCCGGTTCCATGGGTATTGGGTAAGAGACCGGAGAAGGTATTTGGGCCCGGATCGGGAACGGACGGGAGGGCGGACGAACGACTCACGGTCCACGGATCACGATGAGCTTCATGGTTCCCCGGATTGCCACGTGCGGTCACAAGGACAAGACAAGAGCTCCCAGCCCGGGGAAAAGGAGTAGGTAACCATACTCACTCAAGGGCAAACTCTTCCCGTCTTGTGCAGCTGAGGTGACGAATGACGATGGTACGCCGCAAACACTTACCTAGTAGACCTAGGTGAGGCGGCCTGTGACACAGATTGAACTTGTGTGCTCTTTCTGGAAGCTTGGAAGCTTGGAAGTGTTTCTGTCGATCCATCACCTCACAAGTAGAATCTTGTGTAGTCCGGTTGAGGCAAGAAGAGGTCGAACGCTCACTAACAGATGACCACCATTATATCAAGAGATACTGTTAAGGCCTGTTAGTGCAACCGCTTTCGTTACAAACCACTATGAAGTTGAATGTCGGGCATCAAATCGGTGGTTCTTTCGTCCGGTTTGACAAGAAGAGGCGCAACCTATATACTTGGCATCGTGAATTATCAAGAACTATCAAGACGCCACGTCCAACCATCACCCAGCCATGTCCAGCCCTGGCCGGACCCGTCAGCGCCACAGTCCAACAATATCGGAGATAACTCATTTGACACTGCGCTCTCTGCACCGAACTTTCTTGATGCCGTGCCAACTAACCGCTAGGAACAGGTTTGATTGATTGTTTGCTTTGCCAGAAGCAACGACATTCATGAATCATGATCCTGCTGCTGATGATGTTTTCCAAGTTTTGGTTCCAAGACGGAAGCGATCCAACCCGGTTGTTGGTGGATGTCGGTGCAGGTGGACAGGCGAGGAGTACAAAAAAACCGAAAGGGGTCGGAATGTTGAGCGCCGAACCAACAGAACCGCGCTCCGGTGAACATGAGTTGCAAACCGAGAAGTTGACGCTCGTCCTCCAACCGAGCATCGTTGCGCGGCCGTGATGTTTTCAAGAGATGGGCGCCGATGACAGACATACTTGAGCCTGAACCCGATGATGATGATTGATAACGCCAAGCAAACCGTTGTTCATCTTCGATTGCCGTCTTCCGTACTCGCCGTGACCCGGAGTCTCTTATTGCGAAAAGGGGCAGACGTTACCTCGAACCGCTCTTCCCATTCCAGATGCTGTACAAAGCAGCGACAAGCCGACAACAGCTTCCTCCTTCTTATCGTAGGTAAAACGAACAAGCATTGACGTTGGGGTCCGTGGGGTCGCAATCGTGCGAAGGTTCGGGTTAAGCACCGTTGTGTCAATGGCACGCCAAGCGGACATGCTGGGGCAAGGGTTTATTCTAAGGGACAGCTAGGCGAGACAGGGAGACAGGGTAGCGCTGATGTAGCGCTGATGGCGAACATGTGATGCCCATCCTTTGGGTTAGTGGTGGTGTCGTTCTTTGTGTTTTCCAGCAAGAGAATGTGCAATATGATGGATTTGATGGCAAATCGCAGATGGACGATAATATCCACGGGTATAATGTAGAGCGTTAAGATGATATGTATGACGAGAAATGATGGGATTTTTGAGATTCGAGGAATAAGCAAGAAGAGATATTGAACAATTGGACATGGAAGGAGGGAAACACCAAGACCGATGGTCAATACTAGACACTGTTATGGCAGCAGTCATCAATGTCTGTCTGCCTTGGAAGGGGATTGTTAAATAAGATGAGTGGTATCAAATCATCAAAGACCCCTTTTCACGAGCCGAGACTGGATTTCATATGAAGACCACGGACAAAGCAGCGGGAATACGTGGGAGAAGAGAAACCGTTGAGCTCCATTGTTTCTTTCTCTGTGTTTTCTGTGATGGTGTCGTCACTTTCTTGAACAAGGACAAGGCTTCTGAAACTTCGGCGGTTCTCAGGCACAGGTGTTAGCGGTGTGGAGGCAACGGATTGAGGTGGATTCTCGTGAGACCTCGTGGGACTGGTGGGGAGAAAGAAAGTTCACTGTCTCCTTCTTTTAGTGATAAATGTTAGCGCTCCAGGGCGTTAGACGCTGTATCCCCTCAACACCAAGCGCGAATGATGGACCCCTCGTCCTGCCCTGGCGACGCCCTGTCCGTCGTACCTGTCTCAAATGCAGGCAAGCCCCTGCAGTAGACCCAGATACCCCCAATTTCCCCAACAATTACCCCGGAAAAGGAAAGAGCTCCGGAGGACGACACCCCCACCATCTATCTTCCTCTTCCCTTCTTGTCTTTCTCCTTTCCCGCTTGTGGTGGTTCCATGTTGCAAAATCTAAACATGTCGCGTACTGTGTCACCAACACTCGACACCATTGTTGGCTCGAACCTGATCGACAATGGGCCAACGGTTGATAAGCCCAACATGATAACCGCAAGCAGGATTTTACACAGCAAACATTGTGCTGATCCGGACACTGCAACCGCAACAGGAATGCTTACCCCCAGCGTACCGAGTACGGTCTCCCCATTCAATACCGCCATCGATACGGTCAAAATACGACGCAACATGCGACTTCATTTCGTTTCCCCCTTGTTTACTTGCAAATGGCCTGCTCCCTCGACTACCTCCCCCGGATATCGGAACCCCGGCACTTCCTCGGTACCTGCACCCCCGTAACGTTCAATTCCTCGTCGACAATGTCTCACTCGACTCGACCGGCGAGTTCATCCAATATCTGTCACCTTCGCGATTGAGCACGATATGTCACGATAGTCGACGATACTCGAGGGCAATCTTTTCATATAGTGTAGCTGCATGTCACCCGCGCCTGTACGACTCGACCAACACGCCCCGGCAGGACATGCTCCATCACGTTAGCCCTTTTCTATACAAAGAGCAAACAAAAAGCCACCAGGGCCACACCACCAGGGACATCACCAGGGCTGTCATCAGTGACTTCGGATAGTACGCGCCGCAGACGCCACTAGGCCACCACCAACTCCTTTTGTCTTGAACGCCAACCGTGCGGCACTTGAAACCCCTTGCTTCGTTTTGGGCTGCGACCAGGGTCCGGACAAACATATACAAATCCACCCTGGACGGACAAAAAGACAGAAGAGGCCAAGTCACCCCCCGAGTCGTTGACGAGACCGAAGAGAAAACACCTGCGCCAGATCTTTAACATCTTGATCAGACATGAAACTATCCTCGGCTTGAAGAAACATGTCCCAATCAGCAATGTGGACCGACGATGTCGATGCAGACCCGGACTCGGACCTCTCGTCGAGCGAGTGTAACGTCGACTACAGAAACGACAGGGAACAGGTCCACGTCTACCACGCCTACGCCCCTCAGATCCAAATCCAGCAGGACCATCACTACCCACAGACGCAGTCACGGACGTTTCTTGCCGCACCCCGCTCCGCGAATCCCATACTATCGAGATCGGCCTCCATAGGCCATGCCCATACAACTGGCGGCCATGCCACCCACCAGCCGATTCCCAACTTCTCCCACCGACTCTCCCGGATTCCATACCAACACCACGATGTTCCTGAGCTGTTGACCAGTCGAGACGACCTGAGCGTCACCGTCAGCCCTTCAACACCTACACCCATAACGCCTACCTGTAATGGGTTTCAGTTCGACGACATTTTCCACCCCTTGTCGACCCCTTACCGTTCTCGCCTCGGCTCAACCACACCCAGCTTTGGACAGAGGACACCCAGTTTGCGCCCTGTATCGAACATGTCAAATCGCTTTCCAGACCCGGATGCGGTATCAATCACAGATAGTCCTAATCTAGCAACAACCACTACAGTGTCCACTTTATCAAGTTTCGAGACCCCGAAAGTCCAACCCGGTTGCGCCCATATGAGGTCAATATCCATTGGCGGGCCAATGTTGAGGATGGATGGGTCACCTGGGAAGCAGTCGTTGTCGTCAACCACGAGTGGGTCATCGGAGGAGAGGAATCGAAATGCAAAGAATGCATCGCGCCGCATGGGCGGGTTACTGGCACGGATATGGCCCGGGTCATCGTCGAGCGAGAGGAGGAACTCGCCAGCGGACCACAAGAGGTCCCTAACACCACACAAGCTAGAACGACCAAAGCTCGAGAAAGTCCAATTACCAGGCGTCGAACCATTCGGACCATCATCATTATCCTCCTATACTAGCCGATCGGAATACGGCCCGCCATCAACGTCGCACTCGCTTGATGTCCAGAGGCGGGGAAGCTCAGCTGGAAAGGACGCTGGTGCCGCGTTTGGGGTGGACTTGAAAGAGAGTATCAAAATCGCGCCATCAAAGATTCGAATATCCCACCGAGGGAAGAGCACGTCCTACCGATTATTTCCTTTGTCAGTGTACAAATGCTGCGAGTTTATTCGAAACTCGGGTACGTTTTGCATCCTCTCTGGCTCTATCCCTTTGTACCACCACTAACCCCATGTTCGTTTCTAGGGTGCACCGACCCATCGCTCTTTGCATCAACAGGCAACTCGCACAACATTTCCCACCTCACAAATGTGTTCAACACCGGCCCGTCCTACGGTGACGACTTCGATTTCAACTCCATAGGTCCCGAAGGCGACCCCTACACGCCCTACGACGCAGCCCGTTTGATCCTCATCTACCTCCGAGAGCTACCCAAACCCCTCGTTTCGCAATCCGTGCTGAGAAGCTGGATCATGCTCGCGAGACAAGAAGGGGCAATAGAACCAGCAGCTCCAAAGCTAGAAGACATGGGCTTCGATTTCTGGACAGAAGCACTAAACCGACTCTCGTTACATAACCGAAACCTCGTCAAACATCTACTCGATCTGTTCGCCGAAATGTTACTACGAAGTCGAGCAACAACGAATATGCTCGCCGAAGCCCAAGGGAAGGGGAAAGGAATAATGAGACAGCAAGGACAGGGGGTGGTGCACGAGGTAGATGCCCGCCGGCTGGCTTCCGCGCTGTCACGATGGATGTTCCACACGGATAATATGAACCTGGGGAAGAAGACGGCGGCTCACCCGACGCTTGCACTGGCGTTTTTGATCAAAAAGAGGGGGGATTATGCTGCGAGTATTGGGAAGGTGGCGACGGCGCCGGGAAGGGCGAGGAGGGAGTCGGAGTTGTTTCTGCCGAGCACGAGGGAGATTATGGAGTGGAAGGGGGGGCAAAGTTATTCTTGAGAAGGGACTGGGGTTGGAAAAACGATGGACGCCGAAGATCCGAGACTTCCGATGTCAAGCTGAAGACGAACAGGCCTTTCGGTGCTGGAGCTCCGTAGAGGCGAATATTTTTCTTGTCTTTTGTCGTTTTACTGTGTACGGCGCTCGAGAGATATTGGGATATTGAAGCATGGAAGGAAACATGGAAACTTGGAGCGAGCAAGCAAGCAAGCAAAGTGATGTATAGCAGAGATACCCTCAATTTGATTTTCGATTTCCTTTGTCGTCCGGTTTCCTTGGCTTCGAAACCAGTCGCCTCGAAGCCCAGTTGCTCCGTTCTTTGTCTTCTGTGATGTGTCAATCTCACATGTCATCGATGGCTTGGCTTTGCGTGCGTGTCTGGATTTCGGATGCGGATAACCAAAGGACAGGTCCAAGAGGTCTTGCTTGCTTTGTCTCCGCCACCGGCCATCCGCGGGGTACCGTCACCGCTGGAGGCTTGGACTCTGCAGGTTCGGACTCCGGAGGTACATACAAATATTTTCTCGGGCTTCGAAAACATATAATATGCAGCGGTTCATCGGTCAATGCCGACGCACATGAGTCTGCACTTGAAGAAGCGCGGTCCAGCTATTTATGGGATTCTTTTTACCAACACCCCTCTCGGCCGGCCTCACCATCCAGCTTACTATGCATAACACATGAAGACCGAGAGCTGCATCACACATACCCATCTGATCTTGGATATTCCATATGCACACCGCAGGCTCAAACTCGTTAATTAGATGCATGCATGCCACAGGCATCAATCAGCCCCAGCCCTATAGGTATAGGTAGACATCTGCTTGATGCAGCCTAGTCTTGAACTGCATGTCTCCATGTCTCCATGCCTCCATGCCTCCATGCCTCCATGCCTCCATGCCTTCATGCCTCCATGCAACTGCCACTACCACTTTCGGAGGTTTCTCTCGCCCGTTGCCGATAATACTGCCGGGCTTACTATCCCATCCAACATCCATGCCCGTCTCTGCCATCCGTAGGTATTTGCTACACTGTACGACGCATCACTTATCTTAGCCGCACATAAAGGGCTAGCCAGCTTCGGGCAATCTTAGCGATCCGGTTTCGCTCTACGTGTACTGTTTTGAGGGGTCGGATAGGGTCTCGACTGCGGGGAAGCTCGAGGGAGGAACGGGATGGCGTTCCAGCTTACGCCATTTCAGGTTGTAGACAGCCACAGATAGCTGTCACCGAATCGGATGGCTGCCTTGGTTGGTGGCGTGTACCAAAAAGCGAAGGCCTCGACCAAGGTCCCGAGTCTGCAAACATAATGATGTGACGTTCCCAACAAACTGATGTCGAATAAATTTATGCGAGGAGCGATGTCCGATATATTATCTAAAAAATTTATACCATTTCCTCATACAAATGCGTTAGGCCCCCAAACTGTTCCCTCCTCTATAAAGAGCAGCTTCCTCGAGAACAATTACATCTCTCATCATGGCAAGCTTCAACAGCTTTCCCGACAACCCATACGCCATGCCATCCCTCCAAGCACCCGTCGATCCTTTGTCCGTCAACGGCGGCGAGCTGGAAAATGTCAAGCCGGTCGGCAATACAACGCAAAAGTGAGTCATGCCCTCGAATTGATCGATGACAGCATGCTAACATCCGACGCCAGAAATGCCAGCGATGCTGACAACCTCCCCACGAATCTCTACCCCAGCATCACCACAGCCAATCACCCCAACCTTGACCAGTTCGCTTCTTCCCACCTCATCAACTTCGGAACCACCTTTCTTCCTGACTTGATTATCTCCGCATCCCACCTTTCCCTCTTCACTGCTCCATCCCCCGGCTCCTCCTCTCCGTACGGCCGATCGATAACCGACTGGACTTCCGGCCAAATGTCATCCCTACTCGGACACTCGCACCCAGAGATTGTCTCCGTTATCCAGTCCCACGCTTCGTCCCTCGACCACCTCTTCTCTGGCATGCTTTCGCCTCCTGTTGTGAACCTGGCCAAACGGTTGACAAGTGTCCTGCCGGATGGACTCGATAGGACTATGTTCTTGAGTACCGGTGGCGAGTCGAACGAGGCAGCGATCAAGATGGCCAAGACGTATACCGGGAAATGGGAGGTCGTAGGGCTGGGTGCGAGTTGGCATGGTGTTACGGCGCAGGCGAGCAGCGTGCAGTACCATGCTGGACGGAGGGTCGGGTGGCCATTGGTTCCCGGGGGTTTGATGTTGCCCAGTCCAAACGCATATCGGTGTCATGAAGGCTTCAGGAGAAAAAAAAGACTCTGGGAATGCAAACAAGAATGGATTGAATAGTGCAGGCATGGAAGAAGAAGAATGGGAGTATGACTGGGAGACAGAAATGCTCTACGGCTGGAGACTGATTGACCAACAGTCATGCGGCTCTCTGGCAGCCGTCATCGTTGAGCCAATCCAGTCCTCCGGAGGTATGCACGTCCTGCCGCCCGGATACTTGCGCAGGCTCAAGATCGAGTGCGAAAAGCGGGGGATGTTGCTCATCGTCGACGAAGCCCAGACTGGTATTGGACGCACCGGAGAGATGATCGCCGTCAATCACGATGGTGTGGTGCCCGACATCTTGACCTTGTCCAAGACTTTGGGTAACGGGTTGCCGTTGTCAGCCGTCGTCACAAGCCACGCCATCGCCGACGTTTGTGCGGAGAGGGACTTTCTCTTTTACACCACCCATGTCAACGACCCTTTGCCTGCCGCTGTGGGTGACAAGGTGTTGGAGATTGTTGTTCGGGAAGACTTGGTCTCGCACGCTCGACAGATGGGGGACATCCTGCACTCCGGGCTCAACCAGCTCAAGAAACGGTATGCGTGCATCGGCGACGTTCGAGGTCGAGGGTTGATGGCGGGCATGGAGATTGTCGAGGATCGAAGAAAAGGGAAAGAACCCGGCCTGGAACTCGCGAAGAAGATCGGGGATCGGGCGTACGAACTTGGACTGTGGTGTAATCTGAGTACGCACCCCAGCTTCGGAGGAACTTTCAGGATCGCGCCGCCTATCACTATTAGCGAGGAACAAGTTCGAGAGGGACTGGGGATTTTGGAAGAGGCATTCAGGGGGGTCGAGGGGTCGTTGCCGCTGTACTGATAGGTAGGTAGATAACTAGCAATGGATTTCCGATTTCACGTTGTGTTCCCTCTCAGCGAGCGTTCACTGTTGTATCGCTCTGTAATCTTCTTTGTTTTTTCTCTTTAAGTGCCATCCAGATTGCTAATTGTCACCAGACACGGTGGAATCACCCCCTTTCTGGTTCTGTTGAGTTGGCTGTCCAGGGGCAGTCGTGGACCTTGAAGGTGGTCTGGAAACTGATGGCGACGGGAACTCGATGCCATTGCTGGACCATACGGGGAAAGGGCTCATGCGAGAGATGGTGTTTTGGGGAAACGGTTGGTCGGTTGATTGAAGGGAGAAGAAGACAGCAGTGGGAAGGAGAGAGGAAGGAGTCTGGCTTACTACACACAGGGTGGGTAGGTGTGGAGCCACTCTGGCTATATAAGGAAGCTGCAAGCTGCAAGCTGCAGGTACTGATGCCCTGGCTTCGACACTCGTCAGGGTCCACTATTCACAACGGATCATGCTCAACCCAGGGGGGGTCAGAGAGAAGCTGATAGTCCTTGAGATTCTCCAAGCCAGTGTTCTCTCCGAGACACAGATGGATCATCGGGACTCTTTGGGAGCACCAAGGATATGGTGGTCACTGTTCTTGGCCAAGAACGGGAAGAATACAAGTTTGTCAAAGCTGCCACCCTTGTTCTTGCCGAATTGGGCAAAGACCCACCTCAGGTTCGCCATTTGATTCGTTCCCTCCTTGACCAGTCTTTCAAGTACATGCAGCTAACCCCATTGATAGATGTTCCTGCCTCCGTTCCAGCGTCCGGTGGCCGGCCGTCAAAGGATACCTTGGTGGCTCGTGCAGCTACCTACCTCTACCAAATAATCGCCGAGCTTGAAGCACCCTCAGACTCCATGTTCACCAAGTGGAAGATATGGCTCTGGCGGCGGGTCTAGCCCAGACGGGTGTGAGCTCAGCGTTGATGCATTCCATGCCGGTTCCACTTGAAATTGTACTGCTGTTGTTTGTTCTTGTCCCCCTTTTCCACCACCCCCCAAATCCAGGGCTTGCCAAGTGAATGATGCGCTTCCGCGTTGTTTTTGCACTGCTTGACCAAACATCATCAGTCATGGCTTCAACCCGAAGAGGATTGTCATCTGGGTCTACATGAAAAGGGTGGGATATCAAGAATCAATGGTGTAACAGTTGTGAAGTTAATGACATGCAGCCTCTAATATCTATCACCAATGCTTTTCTCTTGGTCCAATGCATCCCTAAAATGTCTTTGCTTAAAATTGCAACACGTTGAAACAACGTCGGTGGTTGGAGAGTCACGGCGTCGTCAAGCATCATCGTCGATGATCATCAAGGCAGTTTGGTCTTGGCCACAACATACAACGGCCGGGGTCCAGTAGACACCTAGCCAGTTAGTTTTTTACTCAGGTGACGCCCTGCTGTTGGTGGAGATGGAAGGTCGAGGGAAAACGAGGTTACCATGGTAGTCATGGCCTGGACTCCCGTCCTTCCTGCCCTCGGGTCCAAGAACGATACGCATTGCCCAACCTGGCCCCATCTTCCTCAGGTTGATCTGCTTCCATCTGCATATTGTGCATTTCCAACATGAACCTAGGTATGCCTTCGCCGGAGACGAATCACTCAAGGAGTGTTACTATCAGACGGGTTCCTTGTTCATTGACCATGGCACGGTCATCGTCACAGCACACCCACCCTCCCTTGTCAATGACTTACAAGAGGACTATGAGACTCGTGCTCCGTTGTGGGACATGTCACGGTAATCGGGCGGTTTTCATCATGGCAGGCGCCATTGGTCCGGCCCAGGCGATGGTTTTCGGGGAGGAAAGGAGGCGGTCCGGTACACATCAGACTCGGAGTCGGTCAGGATGTCCACTTTTTTCACGTTGGTTCCCTTCCCCATGAAGAGTAAGAGTTCCAGGGGCAGGCGTTGAGTAACGTTAAACCAAAGTTGGGGCAGACTGATCTTGGACGGTCAACATCATGGTTAAACCTCTTCTTCATCACCCAGGCATTCCACTGTCATTGCCGCCGCAGTAGTCCATCAATGTTGATGAAGACTGGTGGTGTGGCCAATCCATGGTGACAGGTGCTCTTGCTCCAGCCCGGACAATGGTTGTCAGGGAGGCAAGGAACCAACCGGGTCGGCATCACGACATGGCTTGACACAACACAATGTCTACTCCTGTGGTCAGAACAAGTCGTCTGGCATGTGCACTTTCCCTTTCTTCACGGTGATCTTCTTAACCGGGAAATTAGAAGGTTCAGGCAACACGGGATGGCCAATTCGATGCAGAAGAAGAATGGCCCTGGATGGTCACCGCTCTCAGTTGGGCTGTTATGGTGGATCGGACATTTGTTCGTCTTCAATTGGCGTGGTCGGCAATCAAACCGCTATGTGTGTACAAGGAACATACAACGGGTCATTGACCGAGCCATTATGCGAGTTGCCGTTGGCGTAAGTATGACCAAGGCAACGGCTTTCGGAGACTCGAGGGAAAGAAGCGACCTGGTGGGCATCACAACACGAAGTCACAACCAGCACATGGCACAGCACGATTAGTTCCATTCAGTTCTTGCTTGGGTCAGCCACCCATTCAAATTTTCAACTCGATGTGTTTTCACTGGGGAACGGTTGAAAGTCGAGCGTCAAATGATGTCCCTTTCGTTGGGGTAGACCCCCCTGGGCTGTCATTGCCCCTGGGTTGATTTCTGCACGAGCAATCACGCTGACATTGTCGAGGTCGATCAGCATCGCCAAGGATACTGTGCCATATGTATTCCCCCCTGCGGTCCCTAACCCTTGACATCGGCGTTGGATCATGGTTGGCGGCCATGGACCCTAAGGGGCAATCGACCCAAGTGGTCGGATCGTGGGCAACGCCGCCAGCCAATAGCCGATGGCCTTCTATTTGGTACCACCACACCGGACACCGTATCACATCCATGGCGCCCTTGATGGTCAATCCTTGTACTAATTCTAGGCATACTCGAGTCAGCTGATCCGGCGTTTTATACTTAAACTCGACGACATCCCTCCATCGCTCGTCGTTGTCGTCGCCGACATCTTCTCCTCGTCACCTACAGTCGCCAAAACGCTACACAGTGCCCCGCCGATACCTACAGCCGAAGACTCCACGAAATACCGCGAAAGACCACTAAAGACCACTAAAGACCCCTAAAGACCGCTAAAAGCTTGCTAGCTACCGTAACCGCTATCCGTCACCCACCATGGCTCATACCGCCCACAAGAACCCGAAGAAGGAGAAATTCGAGGGGCCCCCGAGGTCATCAATCGCAAAGCCAAGGCGTTGGCCGAGTTAATTCGCAGGTCGGAACATTTTGTCGTGTTTACAGGCGCGGGGATCTCTACGTCTGCGGGTTCGTCGCTTTCTCTTATCATCGACACTCTTTGGGACTCCCGCTAGGAGTGCCTACTGTGTCTGTTCGGACTTCGGAGGCGCAGTCCCGGGGGAGCTCGATCACCACGAGACACCATGAGCACCTCTACCATCTACTACAGACACCCCCGAGCGCTTTTCCTGCCTGGAAACCTCCTCTCTTTCCCTGACCCTGCCCTTGTCCTGCCCATGCCCTTGTCCTGCCTATCCACAGTCAGTGCTGGTGCCAGAGCTGTCCCAATTCTGGTACCGCCCCGTCCTTGATCTTCATAATCAGGTGCTCCTCCACGTGGAATGCGCCCTCGTGCGGCAAGCTAATACAGATATGACGAGTAAAAGGCATCCCGGACTTCCGAGGCCCCGAAGGTGTCTGGACCTTAATGGCCCAAGGGCGACAAGCAACGAAAAAGTCTGTCGATACGTTACAAGCCATACCAACACAAACGCACATGGCCTTGGTCGAACTGCAGGAGAGAGGCATACTGAAGGGGCTTATCAGCCAAAACTGCGATGGGCTGCACCGTCGAAGTGGGATACGCGCTGTACGTCTCGGTTCTCCTGATGGCTGGAAGGTTTCTATCTTTCCACCTGATATCCATGTGATATTCTCTGTGCATGCCGGATGGCGGGAGGCGGAACAACCAGTGGGGTAACCTCCCAAACTACCGGACAAGTTGACACTGACCGAGACGCACTTGGAATACGGTTACAGGACATGATCTCGGAGTTACATGGAAATACGAACATCGAGCATTGCAAGCAGTGTGGCAAGGAGTTTCTTCGTGGTATGTACCCTCACTTTCCTTCCTGCGGTTGCTTCTATAGCTCTTTTCCCCCGCACAAGCAAGCCTCGGACACATTGCCCTGAATCTAACCCCAGCAGATTTCTATGCCGTTGCACTTGATAATCGACCCCTCCACGACCACCGAACCGGCCGCAAATGCCCTATCTGCATCACGCAACCTCTTCATGACACCATCATACACTTTTCTGAAGACCTACCTCTCGCCCCCTGGACCCGAGCTGAAGCAAACTGCGAGAAAGCCGACCTCTGTCTCGTCCTTGGCTCTTCCCTAACCGTAACACCGGCAAACGAACTACCCCAGCTTGTTGGCGAGCGTGCCGCAGCCCAGAAAAAGAGTCGAGGCAATCAGGACGCCAACACAAACCTCGTCATTTGCAACCTTCAAGACACTGACCTCGATTATCTCTGCCTGAACCCAGACCACCGCATCTTTGCAAAGGCGGACGACTTGATGCAGCAGGTCATGCATTATCTCCAGTTACCTATTCCGGAGTTTCACGTGCGACAAAGGTTGATTGTGGAAACAGACGTGGATGCGGACCCTGCAGGAGGCAGGCATACCGTCACTGTCAAGGGAGTGGACGAGGATAATACCACACCGGCCAGCTTTCTGAGAACCGTCAAGCTCGTGACAGCCCGCGGGAGGCCACGCATGGTCAAGACAGAGCCGTTTGTGCTTGGGTGGAGGGGCATGCTTGGAGAGTTGGAGGAGGAGGCCTTGCAGAGTAATGCTTCCGATTGGGAACACAAAGATGCAGTCATGTCAGTGTCGGAGGTACTGACTCTGGGTTTGGAATTCATGGGCAACTACGGGGAGCCCAGCTATGAGCTACAACACACCGTCCAGGCAAGCCTTCCGCAGTGCGGTGCAGCAGCGCAAGGCCCACGTATGGTGACTCGTACCAGCTATAATCTTATTTATAACCCGCAGAATGGAGAATGGACTGTCAACTTGCATAGCAGCTCGCGGAATTAGGTAGCTCAACTCAAGAACACTTGTTCTCTGCCAGAAGCTGTGGCCACATGCTCCCCTTCCGCTTTCTTTTGACATTTTTTCCTTGTGATACAAAGGTGTCCCACCCCAACGCCTTTTCTCCCAAAAATTCTTTTCCTGAATGCCACGCAAATTCAGCACTCAACTCCAAACAGCCTTCAGAGATTAATTATCTGACCAGCTTATTTGCACTACGAAATCCCTTTGTCAACCGACATCTCCCGTTTCCTCTTCTCGACTCAATTCTCTCTCAACCCACAACGCTGCCTACCTCTACGTAACCGTTGTTGCGCTGACCTCGTGAAGACGAAAAAAAAAAATACCACAACCACCAACCCATCTCATACCTCCATTTTTCGGAGGTTCAGACTTAAGTAACCTCTCCTCCCTATCTTACCTCCCCCCCTCCTTTTTCGACTCTCTCCCTTCTCTCGCTTCTCCCACCAACCCATCTGATACCTCCACTTTTCGGAGGTTCAGACTCAAGAAACCCCTCTTCCCTACCTTATCCCCCCCCTACTTTTTTGACTCTCTCTCTTCTCTCGCTCCTCCCAAGCTGCAATGGAGGACTATAGCCACAACTACGCCATGCTCGAAAACAGCGTCGTCGAACCCGCTCTCGTCTGGTTGGCTTCCGTCGGGAATGGGAACGGCGGCGAGCAGTCCGTCCTCGACTGGGACGATGATGGCCCCCTTGGGCTCGCCGCAGACCAAGCCCTCGCTGCCGACAACGTTCTGGCCGCCCTCCTTGCCCCGCCCCCCCTCGGGCTGCCAGGCCAAATTGCCGGGCAAGACTGGGACCTCGCTGCCGACAACGGCGAGCCCGCCCTCCTTGCCCCGCCCGCCGCAGACCAAGCTCTCGCTGCCGGCAACGCCCTTCTTGCCCTGTCTCCCCAGCCCGCCTTGTCTCCCCAGCCCGCGCTGCCCGGCCAAATTGCCTGGCAAGACCAGGACCTGGACCTCGCGGTTCCCGGCCCGCTTGCCTTCGACATGGCCGATAACTACATCGGCCTTGGCCCTGGGCAGTGGCCTCATTATCCACCCGCCCTTGTCGCCGACTTCCAGGTTAGCAACAACAGGGTTGCCCCATTCGGCGGCCTGGACGGCGGGGATTTTGCCGTCGACCAGATGCTGTTTGCCGCCGACGAGGTGCCTGCCCCCGTTGACTGGGTGCAGCTGCATCAGCAGCAACAACAACAGGAGCAGCAGCAACAACAACAACAGAAGCAGCAGCAACAACAACAGAAGCAGCAGTTTCCTCCTCCTCCGGCTTGGGGTCCTGCTCCGGCTGCGGCTCTTCTGGCTCCTCAGGAAGCCCCAGCTCCTGCTCCTGTCAAGCGTGGTCGTGGCCGCCCCCAAGGGGCGGCTGAACAATAAGACCCTGAAAAGGATGGCTGCGGCGGCGGCGGCGGCGGGGGGCAGCCAGGTGGGTGCTCCCGTCGACTGGGTGGTGCCTGCCCCCTTCGACCAGCTACTGCAGCAGCAGAAAGAGCAGGAGCAGCAGCAGCAACAGCAGCAGCAGTTTCCTCCGGCTCCGGCTCCGGCTCTCACTCCTCCTCCGACTCTTCTGGCTCTCCCTCCTCCT